TGGTGTAGGTTTAAGTTTATTAGACTGATACATATATACCAACAAGACAGTGTACATCACTGTGACAACAGCGTTTGTTTTCATTCAAAGGCTTTATGGTTTTTCCTATAATACCTGGTGGGCCGGTCTCTAGTCAAAATGCCCGGGCCAGTCCAGCCCTGTCTCTATGGGAGGTTTTTGCAATATGAAATATTTCTCTGCTGAGGGAAAAAAGTGTGCCCAAAGAGGAAAGTCATGACACAGTAGTAGATTTTATGATACAGCTTTTGACTAAGGAAGCTCCTGCGTCAGCGAGTTCCCGGCTGGGTAGCATGTTAGTGCTTCATTTACCAGCTATAACTACAGTAGCCATGTGAGTTGTCACAGCATCACCGAGTCCCATATTTTGCAAAGACGAAAGGATGAATTCTGCTTTCCCATTTTCTGGCTTGACACGACCTTATTACTGAACACAGCAAATGCAGGAACCGAACGTTTTGTTGCAGTGCCACAAAACCACCCTGCCATTCACTGCGCTCACGCAGACAAAAATGACACAAAACAGTCCGCACTGTGTGCTCGCAGGACTTTGGCGTATTCGCAGCCTCTGCAGTGGTGTTGTTTCCTCATCACACTGCTTTTCTGTTTGTAGTTGTCGTCTGAGTGGGAGGTTTTTGGTTGCTGGGCGAGCTTTGGTCATCCATATTAAGTGGCTGTTTAATGGAGCAAACGGCATCCATTCATAATTTTAAGGGGAGTGAGGGAGGCTGATGGCGATTCCTGTGTCAGACTGGGGGAACTGGAATGAAGCTCAGGGATTACTCCCTCAGACGTTTCATAGAGAAGGCAAATTGAAAAGGGAAGGAAAAAATCCTGGCAAACAATTCATGTTTGTCACCTGGTTCTCCCTCGCAGGGGCTGCATTTTCTTATCAGCCGCTTGCAGTTTTACCGCAGTTTTTTCCATTGTTTTTCACCTCAGCTCTAAAGCCTGCCACGGCTGCTCTGAGCCCTTTTTCCTAAAAGCCTGTGGTGGGGTTAAGCTAGGAACCATTAGCAGCTGGCTTTCACCCCTGTGAGCTTCATGTGTTTCACCACCTGAGGAGGAACTTGTGCTGATCTTTTCCAGGGTCACACGTGGGTGGATTTTCACAGAGGATGGAGCAGGGGCTGCTGTCTAATGTGAGGATAGACTTTGGTGGGGTCAAGCCAAGGTCACTGTTTATTACCTCAATATGCCCCCCTGGTATTTACTGTATTTTTGTTGTGTAATCTAGTTTTTTTGCGATAAAATTATCACCTGCAGAAACATTAGCCACAGTGTAAAGTGGTTTAAGTACAGAGGGGAAAGAGCATAAAGAGAATAATGTATCGCATTTATGTGGTATTGATTGATGAATATATATGTATGTGAATTGACTAATTATGCGGCTTCGTGCAGAGAGTTAGATAAGCTAAATCCCAGCGTCGTGTCTGTCAGCTGATGATGTGCCAGAGTGTGCAGCTACAGATTCATTTCAGTGAGCTGGAAAAGATCAGTGCAATATCAGATCACAAATGTTTATGGCATCTTATCATGTTAGTTTACACACATATTACAAATTTGCAAGCTAAAAACACGTTTTCCGTGACCTTCCGGAGTCTTCTAGTTATTGCTTTGAGGTAACCAGGCGAGCAGCACAAGGAGAAAATGTTCTGCCAGGTAAAACGTGCCATGTTTGCAATCTGCTCTACATTTCTGAATGTGCAGGCATTTGCATGCTTGTACAGAGACAGGCTCTCCGTTTCCTCCTGTTTCCAGTTGTTATGCTAAGGTAAGCTAACGAGCGCCTGGCTGTCGCATCAATTTAAATGCGCAGACATGAGATTGGAATCAGTCTCCTCTGCTCACTCTCAGCACAATAATCTTCCTTCAAACACCAGAATCTTTAGAGATTATGCAGTCCACGGCTGAAGAGAATTATATTTACATGCCACTTTGCAACACTAAATATGTTTTCAGCTCGTTTGTGGTTTTTACCAGCATGTAAGAAAAACGGTTTAATTTGTTGTCCTACAATTGTTTTTCAAAAGCTATAGGGAGGAACTAAATCTTTATTCCTACAGGGGTTTTTCAGTGAGTAAACATGGCATTATGTTGGACTTTGCGATACTAACGTCCACCTTAACCACCTGCAGTGCAGCGATATGCTGTGTTTACTTTTATAAATGTTTCCTTTTCATATAATCAAAGCGAGAAGAATGCATTCTCAAAACACGCAATCTGAAATTTGTTAGCTGTGGTTGTAGTTTAGAAAAAGACTTTGTAGGGGGCAGGGCTGTGTGTTTGCTGCCAGGTTAACACTACTTAGAAAGTTGAGTCAAAGCTCTTTTCTTCTTGTGTGTCGTCTTTTAAGGGAAGATTGGACCAGACTACAATTAGAACTTCATGCAAGCCGCAGCTTAGAAACGAATCATTACTTTATTGAAAGGCTTCCTTAACTACTGGTATGTGTCCTATCACTTTGCTGGCCTTAGATGATTTACTTTGGAGGTGTGAATTAAGCCAATTAGGCTTCACAGTGCACAAAAGAAGCTAGAGATTGCACGGACATATGGTGCTGCCTGGGCAATTAGTATCTGTAAACGTAGATCAGACATTATAAAGATGAGAAGAATTTAAAACAAAACAGTGTTTGGTTTTTTTGGGGTGTAACAGCTTGTGTTCTTAAAGTTAAAACCAATAGTGGTCTGACAATTGCCTTATTCTGTTTTTAAACTAAGGCAGTGAGTGGGGTGCGTCAGATATTTGCCAGCTACTTCTTCTCAGCTACAATGTGAAATGTAAATGAGAGTATGCTAGCAGTAGAGACATTCGAGAGGAGGATTTTCTCTTTGAACATGCAGCCCACTCTGTGAATTGCACTGTGACACTGAAAAAATGGGAATTTTGATTGACTGAATTTCCTCCATTCCTTTTTCTGAAGTTCACACACAACTGTAGGAATCCCGAAAATGAAAATAAATCACTCTAAACCTGGAGAGGGAGCCTTGTGAATTTTGCAAAGAAAACAGCTTTAAAAAAATATCATTTTAATGGTTTACCTCTCCCTCAGACCTCTCTTCCACCCTTCCCCCTTTAGGCTATTTGGGTAAAGCCTTTGGAGGAGATGATTAAAAATTAATATTTGGCTCAGGATTGACAGCAAACACCATTTGATGTGAGCCACAAAGAGACTATGGGTTTTCGGGTAGCTTTCAGGCGGTTTTACAGTTACCACAAACCCTCGTTTTTTCTTCAGTGAGTGGGTTGAGGGAGATAGGACAAGATGGACAGGCCGAGGATTTGTGTGGCGCTCGCGGTGCTCAACTCTGGTTATCTCCCTGCAGTATGCATGACAGCCTCTGCGGGACCAAAGAGAGTCCGAGCTACATGCAACAGAGAGAGGAGGCATACCAGCAACTCCGTGTCTTCAGTCTCCACCTCTGCCACTGCGGGTAGTTTCTTAGTTTGGGCCCTGATGTAGCACCTCTGATGTTCAGCAAACCGGATCCCAGTGATTCCCTTTGAAAAAGAAAAAGAAATGAAGGGATACTCAGGAATTCAGATATATGTATCATTCAGTAGCCCTCTGTGATGTGGATATCTCATATGAACTGAGGCAATCATTTTAAAATGCTCAGCCTTTTGCTGATAATCAAAGCTGTTAAAAAGTTAAAACCTAATGAGTAAGAAGAGGTGTGTTTTGATCTTCTTCTTCTTCTCCTTCTTCATTTTTTTCTTTAAACTTTTATATCGTGGAGTAAAATTGATGTCTGCTTGGCTCTTGCAACACAGCTTTTGCTTTCAAGCTGAATGAAATAAAAAGGTAGCGGGTGTTCCACTGTGGCTCGGTAATGCTTTATAGCAGGATATATTGCACAGGAGAGCCAAGTGACATTGTTGAGAATGAAGTGTTTTCTACAGAGACTGCCCCCATTGAATTAGCCAGTCATAGGTCCCTGTCACTCTCTTAATCTGCGCAGTCAAGTGTGGAGTCACTCTCTTCAGCTCCACTGATGATCCTCCACCATGTGGACCGTGGCTCTTTTCAGTCTGACACACAGAGCCTCAATAGGCGAGAAAGATCTGTTAATTCCCTCTCGCCGCTATTGTATGTTAATCTAAGATATTCAGCCGGAATAAGTTTGAAAGACTTTCAGTAGATCAGATTGTATCCAATTTATTTTCTGCAGAGAGCTGCTCGTTCAGCACACAGTATTAGAACAGACGGCGGGATCTACATCTGCCACAGCTGCTTTAAACTCTCATCAAGTAAAAATTGTATGAGCCGTACCATGAAAATGGACTTGATTCAATCTAAATTTAATTACACTTACACGGTGATTGCTATGACATCTCCTTTGAATTGGTTAACTTGACCATGTGGGTGCTATTTCTATATTTTCAGCGGCGCTGTCACTCCGAGAGCCAGATACCAGCTGTACGAGACACGATACAAAGTGATGGCTGTCATAATCTACTGCATGTAATTTCATCTGTGTGGAAAAAGGATGGGGCAATAATAGTCTCAAGCACAAAAGCATTATGTTTATGCCGGGCTTTATTGTGATGAGTCTCTGTTTAATTTGGATCTACTGTGTTGGGGAGCTGCAGCGCTAGAAAAGAGGGCGATGTTGTGATGAGATACACTGATTACTGGGCTTGGTCAACCAGAAAATGAAGAAAGACACATTAACATAGGGCTGAGAAATGGGAAAGCAATGCCATTTTAACAGACAACATTGAAAGATCCACTCGGTGTATCCACGTGCAAGATGCTCATCTAAGTTTTATCAAGAGAATGGAGAACATGTAACAGCATGCATCATTCAGCTCATTCAAATGTCAGCTGGCATTAGTCTGGGCGATGCCTTCACATTACCTGCAAAAATGTCTGTAATTATGTGACATTTCTTACCCATGAACTATGCAACTCTCCTTTTACAAGATAGAACATGAAAATGTTAAACAGCATGACAATTATATCTCGTTTAAAATATTAAATACAGCCTGGACAATACATTACACGTTATCAGTGTGGCACTATCCACTGGTAACCTTAAGGTGGACCTGTATGGGTCTAAAACAAAAAAACCTCTAAATTTTAAAGATTTTTTCACGTTTTGTTGTTACTGATAGTCCATCTCACAATATCCAGACATCACAGTCAATCACAGAAATCCAAGCAGGATGCTATGTTACCGTAGGCTATCCTCAACTTCATCAAAAGTTTTCCTGCAGTCATGAATTTCAAAAGTGCTCCAAAGAAATTTTCGATGGATGAGTGCTGGAGGCGAGGTTTGATGCCTCCGTTTTATTTGCTGTGAGAAGAGGAGGCAGTAGACCGTATAGCAAAAAAAAGAGACAGGTTTTTTCTTCTAAATTCCCCGCTGACCAACACATCCTCGCGGTTAAAGGTTATCTGCAAAGACGACTGGCTAACATGAAACAAAAGAAGTAAAAACGTAGAAAACAGCATCTTATAAACAGAAAGGTTGGATGTGATTATGTTGCTCCGTGTTTTATTGTGTAAAGTACTCCTAAATTATTTAAATTATCTGTCAAAATGTTGACTATGGTATGTGCCTGAAGTTTGGCCACAGAAGCTTTACAGGACTGTTGAGGCTGACTTGCTGTGTGCAGGCTGCCAAAAGATAGACGTTAGAAGACATTCAAGGACGGCAGCAGTGAGGACACGAGACTTTGAGCCAAATGGCTCGTCTAAAGCTGCCTTTTCAAGTCGAACCTGAGAAGGAGAACTAATTTGTAACACGGGGCGTGATGTTGTCAGTTTTTTTTGATATTTTATACTCGATGAGGCAGAAAGACATCACAAAAAATAAGCAGCTGCGGAACATTTTTTAAGGATTACATTATAGAAATATTACTTTTACTATCAAGTTAAGATTTTTGTATGACAACACATAGATCATTTAGCATAAATATATATTTGACACTTTTTTGTTTCTTGAAAATTGGTTACAAATTCAACAAGTTATGATTTTTAATTAAAAAAAACTGAAAAAAGGTGGTGATGTGTCCTCATATCTGTCTTTCTCCATCGTTTTTGTTGCTTTTGCCCATTTGACTCATTTTGTGATTCAGCCTTCAACAGTACAATAACACATGTTTTGCAGATATTTGTCCAAATAAGAACACTTCTGTCAAACTGGTCCAAATTTGCAATGAAACAGTCATGTTGTTGCCATAGCCAGCACAAATTCAAGTGAAGTCAAGGACATCCACATCAGACTTGATGGAGGGTACTGATTTCCTGGCATTATTGTTAGATACAGCGGTCCCCAACCCCCGGGCCTCGGACCGGTACCGGTCCGTGAGTCGTTTGGTACCGGGCCGCAAGACTTGTGAAATGTATAGTTTTCAGGGTTTATCGGTTTTCAGCATTATTTTGTAATCGTTTTTATCGTTTACTCGGTTGTCCTTGGTCTTTTCACGTCCCAGATAGCAAGGAAACATTGAAACAATGTTTCAAACATTGAAACAATGTTTGAAACATTGAAACTGAAAAAAAGAAAATTTATTCATAACACATGTGTGTTATGAATAAATCTTCTTTTTTTCGGTACCGGTACTAGTTTTATTTTGTTGTATTTATCCGCGACACCTTAAAGGCCGGTCCATGAAAATATTGTCAGGCATAAACCGGTCCGTGGCGCAAAAAAGAGACCGCTGTATTAATATATCAGTCATTTGGACAGTGTCACCAAGATTAGGTTTTGACCGGGACGTTGATGGTTAACTGGAGAGGAATTAAAGAAAAAGTAAACACTGAGAGAAAGTGTCTGTTAAAAACACAACTTTAACATAAATATTACAGAATGGCTGCACTCACCAGCTGCTGCTTCCAGCATCTGTGGTGATTTATGGATGCTGGCAACCTTGAACTAAGGTAGTACTATTTGAAAATAAGAAGCTAAAACATATGACTGACAACTTCTGCAGTCTGAACTTGAGCCAAGTCAGATGTCGAAATACCTGCGAAGCTGGCGGGAGTTATAGCTTAGGGTGTGCATCGCCTGATGAAGAAGGTCAGATGGTAAATGAGGGAAAAACGCTGCTCACCCTTGTTTCAGACGGCTCTGCTGATGGTTTCCTCTCACAGTCTAGGGATATATTGTGCTTTCTTAAAGTTTTCCGACGCTTGGAAGTTTTACAGATTATTTTGTTGGCTCAGAATCATCTCAGAGTGAATTCAGTTCCCCACAGTATCCCACGAGAATAAAAATAAAGAACACAATATCCCATTTGCTTAAGCATTTAGATCTTTTGTAATACCACTGTTGAGCTCCACAGTTGACTTTTATCATTGCTGCTTCAATAGTTTGATTGAGTCCACTGTAATTACCTGAACTAATTGTGAACTAAATCGACGTAATTAGAAAATTCGCACACCTGCCCGTGCTGCTATCAAACACAGTGGCCGCAGGATTGTGCTGCAACTGGGAGTAGAACATAAGTCAGGCAAAAGGAAAAGGTTAATGTAGAAAATATGGGTCAATTTTAAGTGAAGACCTTTTCCAGAGTCCTCAGGGTCTCAAACTTGGGCGAAGATTTATGTTTTATCTAGACAACAACCTGAAGCAGACTTCAAGAAAAGTCTGAAAGTCCTGAAGTAGCTTAACTAGAGCTGAGGCTAGAACCACACAGAACGTAATGGCTGCGCACCAACTCCTTCCATCCAACTTGGTTGAACTTTAAAGATTCTGCCTGCAAGAATAAGAGTGACTTTTAACAGAAAGGTGTGCCAGACTTCTAGGATTATTTCCAAGGAGACTCAAGGCTGCCATTGCTGCCAAAGGTGCTTTAACAAAGAAGGATTGTAGAGGTCTCTGCAGTGCTGAACTGCTTGACCCCCACAACATTGCTGCTGATATTTTCTGATGTATTTACAAAACCAAAACCTTTTTATTCTTGTAAATCTACACCTAACACACCTGAATAGCAAACTACAACAGGATCAATCTGAAACACACACACACATATGTTTCCATGAAATAAATTAAAGATTTGTTGAAATTTCTTGTTAAATGTCAGGAAACAATGAGCGTGGTTCTTTGTTCTTTACAGGCGAGGCCACATTACCGTAGCATTGTTTGAAGCCTTTGTAGTTAGTGAAGCAAACCTTGGAAAACTTGGGCAGCCTCACTTTTGCATCATTATGTCAAAAGTTTAGAGAATTCTTAAGGAAATCTGTTGTTGAGTTTAAGGAAAGCAATCACGCATCATGCAACTGGAGAGATAACACAACACACCAAGAAAGTAAACTTAACTTTAACACAATGGCTACTTAACATGCTCCAATTTTGACTCTGTTCTCGCTTTATTATACCTTTGCTTTGTTGTGCAGATAAAATTGAAACACCAATTTGAAACCTTGCGCAGAAACAAATTTCTGTTTGCCTAAATGTTCTTTGGTTCAGTTGTTCACTTCGTTTTAACGTGAAAACGACCCTGGTAATTCCCTCTCAGGATGTCTCTTTCTCCATTTTTCCTTCCTCTCCTGTTAAAATGAGTCTAATGGTTCACAGTCCTGGTGGTATAATCCCCTCATTTTCCATTCATCACACAGCCCTCGGGCTTGATGGAGATTGTTTTAAAGGTGGCTTTAGTCTGTGTAATAACATGTGACATTCCCCTTTTTTGTATTAAACAAAATCAATTCTAACATCAGTGCAAAAGCTTCCACTTAGTATAACCAATTGTAAATTTTCTCTGAGATTTTTGTCACAATGAGGTTTGAATTATTCTGCTCACTCGCTTGTTACTTAGTCTTCCATGGTGGAGCACTGAATCAAACAAATCTCCTCGGGGGATGTGCTTCACTAACAGGAAGTGGAACAAGCAACAGGCACGCATGTTTATGTATGTGGGCCACAAACGCGCACACACATACACCCACACGCAAACACAGAGTGGGCTCAGGGAGGGAGAGAAGGAAATAGAGAGACTGATTGCAGGGGTTAAAGTTTTCCGGTGCTGTGCTGGTTTCTGTCATATAGCCATTTTAGATTCACAAAGCCCATTGTAACAAAAACAATAACGATTCAGCGTAGGATTTTGTTTTGGATGAGGTGTATCCTGTAACATTCAGCCTGGCAACTCAACATTTCACAGTAAATAATGGTGTGAGAGTAAGAGCATTCATTACCCAGCCAAGCAGCACACTCTCTACTCCGAGGTGCAGCATGTGTAACCTCCTGCACAGTCGAGCAGGATTTAGGAATGAAAGGTAAGTTAATGAGTTCGGCTGGAGACAAAATTGCATTTGAAAAAGGTGCGAGAAACAAATAGAGACGGGCTTCTTAATAGCGTTTGTCTCTGTACAGTGAAAAAGTTGGTGTATAGAATTAGTGGGAAGAAAGCGATTTTTTTATGCGGGTCTGAATTCTTCACTCTGGGTTGCTGTGTGTGTGCACAAAGTCACATAACAAATCTGTGCGCTGCTGCTTTAGTATCAATTACTGATACCATAAGTGCTGTATTTTTTGAAATTGTGTTTTTGATCCTTGCATGAACACCTCAGTGAGAATAATTTCCATCACTCTGTCTGTGTGATGTTTCAAAGGTTTGTACCATCTTTTTTCCCATCCAGAGTGACAAAGGATGAGATAAGAAAAATAGGATTTCAAGAAAGGATAAACGTTGTCAATTGTCTCTTAAAAAAGGGCAGGATGTGAACATCATACAACATCCTCTGCTGACGAGAAAACATGGGTACAGCTTCAGTTTTTCATCAAAAGAAAAAAAAAAAATAGCTTACATGGCCTTGTTTAACCTTTACTTACATTTTTGAAGTCGTGGACCTCGAGAATCTCCTCACTCCCATTTCCCATCTTAAAGATTTCAACGCGGTGAACTGGGTCTATCTCCATTGTACTGTCTGTCTCCACGCCATCCACCACAGCTTTGTACTCGTGGTCATACACCTGCAACGACACAAACAACCACACGCCCCTCTGATCAATGCACGAGCGATGCTTTCGCCATTCCTTACATCATTGTTGTGCGCTCAATAATATAGATCAGTGAAAACATCAAAAATTAAGCAATTTTCTGAATTCTTCAGCCGTCTTTAAATGCTTAACAGCGCTTTACAATTTAACAATGCTGCGCTGCCAACATCTCAGATTTTTTTCAATTATTCAAGCAGGTCTGGTGTTGTTCTCATTGACAGCTGTTTCACTGAAAGGAAAAAACAATTGACTCGATGGTGGCACCGAACACAGGATTATGAATTGGAATTTCATTTTTGGGTGCCAAAACCAGAAAAAACACAACAGCCGCAGAATAATTGTCACAAAATGGTGAGAAGTGTGAATGAGATTGACACATATTTACAGGCTATTGAGCGCCGGTTTATAGAATATTCAACCGTTAAATAAACATATGTTTTCATATGTCACCCACATCTGAACGGAGATCAAAATGATCCATAATTACAAAAAAACAACAGATGAATACAAAAGACCTGCAGAAAACATGTGAGGCGACTACAACATCAGACTGAATAATGAGGTCGAATGACAAACCAGCTCCCATAAGAAAGGATAAGAACAGAAAAAAATACGAGTTTTAAATACTTGAAGCTGCAGTAACCTGGGTTAGTATCAGAGGGGGTTAGAAGTCAAGGGTTGGAAGGTAACAGCTTTTCCAAACATCCCAGTTTTATTTCGGAGGATTACATCATTTAACTTTACGCACAGAAACAAAAAAAGATTTCACAGAAACCAAAAACTACCAGGGTCAAGCTTATTAGCTCCCCTGATGCTAACAGTCAGTTGTTTATCCTTTTTGCTGGATAACAACCTTTAGTCATTTGTTGTACCTTTCAACATGTCTAACACATCTCTGAACTTCCTTCAATTTTGATGGTCCTCTGGCACGGACGTTGGATGCTCAATCCAGTCAGTAACATTCATTTTGAACTTCTGGATGTCGTCCTTCACCAGGAGTGATGTATGTTTTGGCCCATTGTTGTCACAGAAGACAAAGCGACAACCCAGACCCAGTTTTGCTACTGGATGCTTGAGGTTTTCTTTCAAAGTCTTCACGTATCCTTCTCTCTTTGTGATTCCTTCCATCTTCATGAGATTCCCAGTTCCAGACCCAACCCACAGCATAATACCACCACCACCGTGTTTCACTATAGGGTTGTACACACAAAAATGAGCTCGAGTTTCATGTCATCTAACCAAAGGACACGATTACAGAATGCATAATTTTAATTCATATTGTACTTCAGTCTTCTGCACAAGTGAAGGTTTTCTTGGTCTGCAACCTCACAGTCCATTCCTGTGCAGCGTTCTAGCAATTGTCTTCTTTGAGTCTAAGATTCCCAACTTAGACAAGTCATTCACTAATGTCTTGGAAGTTAATTTGGGGTCTTTAGACACATCTCTCACGAGCTGTTTTCCCAGAATCTTTAAAATCTTTTGCTGCCTACTTGTGCCAGGCTTATCCTGTACTGTGTGGCCCTCTTTGAATTTCTTGATGATAGTTCTCACTTCAGTTCTTGACACTTGGAAACTCGGCAATAACTGTATATCCATCTCTTCTTCATGAGCATCAACAATTCTTTTTCTCAAGTCCAAAATGGCTTGTTGAAGTTTTTATACTTTTATAGTTTAAATTGATCGCTAACCATCGGTTTTAACTTGGTTTTACACACTGCAAAAGTTAAAGCACATCATTACGCAGCAGTGTTTTTTTTTTTTTTTGCTGTGGCTCAATAAAAGAATCAGTTTTTCAGAGGGCTAATAATACTGACCCTGGTAATTTATGATTTTTTATGAAAACAATCTGTTATTGTGTGCAAAGAGAAACAATTTATGCTTTCTAAAGAAAACTAGTATGTTTACGTATGCTTTTTTGAAGATTCTTTACACTGAAAAAAAAGCACTTCAGGAATTAGTGAAAAAAATAATTTTGTTCTCATCTGTATGTTGTAATTAATGTCAGACTATGATTATGTGGCTATATGTTGGAAAATGCGTACTTATCTTTAATGCATGGCATTTATTTATACTATGAAGCACTTTTTAATTTAAAAGTGCGATAAAATTTAAATTGTTGTTGTTATGGATGCCAGACATCAAAAGAGAATGACTTTACTCCTTAAAGCTCATAGGAAGACAACACCCATCCATCCATCCATCCATCCAGAGCTTATCCCACTTGCCATTGGGTTAGAGGTGAGGCTAACATACTGATACTGCTGCCTTCATTCTATAGGACAACAACAGTAACTCAAATAACCACGACCAAAGTATGCAGAAGAGCATCTCTGAACACATGTCAAACCTTGAAGCAGGTTACCTACAGCAGCAAACGACCACACCAGGTGTCATTGTTGTCAGCTAAAAATGGAAACAGAGGCTGCAATTTAAACAGGCTCACCAAAACTGTACAACAAATGACGGGAATTACGTTGCCTGGTCTGCTGAGGTGACATTTAACATTTGGCTCTATTCTGTCTATCAGTGGGTCAGGCTGGCAGTGCCATATTTTCTTGGCACCACAGCCTACCTGGAGTTGTTGCTGGCCATGTCCTTCTCTTTACGATCACACTGTACCTATCATAAGAAGTGTGCTTGCAGCAGAATAACACGCCATGCCACAAAGCCAAAAATAAAATCAAATTGCTCTCTTGAAGGTGAAAATGAGTTCACTGTACTTAAATGAGCTCCACAGTCCAAAAATCCCAATCCAATGGAGCACCTTTGCGATGATTTTTGTATCATGGGACGGTAGCAGTGCTACCAAGGTGTATCTAATAAACTGGCCGTGTGTGTGTGAGAGGGAGAAGGAGGTGTTGGGTGGAGTAAAATGTGCTGTTTTGGCTGCCCACTGTGCCTGAAAAAGAGGTCGATTAAAGTAAACCAAAATAGCAGAAAATGTGCAGAAACCAAAAAAACAAACTAAAAGTGCCGAATGAAAACTGCAAGGCCAAAGAGAACTGCTTAAATGAGTGATATTTATCTGTATGCTTCCCTATAAGTGACTCCTTTTGCATTACGCAGTCACTGATAAGCCATTGTTAATATAAAAATATCCACTGTAGCAGAAAGCTATCACCGCCTCCCAGTTAGCTTAATTTGTTATCAGTTTTAAAACAGTGGCTGCAATATTTCCCAGATATCTTGAAAAATAAATCAAAAACAATATCTAACCGATTCAAAATGACAGCTTCTTAAACTTCAGTGGTAGCATGCACTCGAGCAATTAAAATATTATTTTATATTATATCGACAAGCTGTAAGGTTAAATAAAAAAATGTATCGACAGAAGTTTGTCTGAAGTAAGCACGATAAAGAGATTTAAAATCTCCCTTACAGTTAGGACTCTCGCTTCATTGTTGCCTTAAAGCGCCGTTGTTTATCACAACTGCTTGCTTATATACTGTTCTTGGACACGCATGGATAGCTCTTAAAATTCCCTGTCTGAAAAATGATTCATGCCCACCAGCTGAAAATATGCTATTAATATTTATGCGAGGGTTGTGTTATGATGAGAAATATATTGCTGAGTTCATCTTCATCTGTCTCAGTGGCAAATCAGAGCCTCGCCAATGAGACGCATGATTAATGAATACACTCAGATGGGAGTCCATCAGGATTTATATCCCCCATCAGAACCATCTGAGTGTCCTCTAACGCTCTAACAAAATTAGCTTTTACTTTAAGCTCTTTCACATGTTCATTTTTTAACATGTTTTCCATCTGCTTGCTTATACACAGCTTCCAGGATATTCAAATATGCTGCGTTACATGTAGGCACGACTTTTCTTTTTTGGAGGAAGAACAGAGCAATAATGATCAAATGGGATATAATTCTTAATAGATGATCACTGTTAGACTGGCATAGCCTATAAATCACCATTAATACGGGTCACAGTAGCCTTGGCGCTAAAGAGAAGTAGAACTTCTAATTGTCAGGAGAAGCCAAATTAAGATGGGCCTGAGATTTAAGTGTCAATTGAGCCGTTATGGATAAAATTGGGGCTATTAAACAGTCTGAAAGTCCATGTGGTGAATTAAAGTTCTATTTGAGCATTTCTTTTATATTAACATAAAGGTGGAATGGGGGAATAGATTCTCGAGGCTTATTGATTTATACTAAAACAGTGAATTACATTTTCAGCAGGCTATCTCTTTTGATGAAAATCCAGCAGTGAGAATCTCCCCACCGCACCAGGTTGAAATAGATAATAATGTATTACAACAGTTTGACTTCGGCTGGCTCAATAGCCAAAGCTGCTGCTGTGCACAATAATTGGCATTCTGAAAATAGAAATGAATTGCCCCTGTATGGCCTTCTTTGATACTTATAGATGCTCCAGTTCATTGGGAAACTTGTAGTGTGATACATGGTGCAATAAGGGGAAAACTGTGGAGCACAACATAATATTTCACCTCAGCGTACCAACGGTGATCTTTATAATTAGTTCTTCAGATCACTCTCATTATTTTAGTTTCAAAAAATAAAAATAAAAAAGCAAAAGTGCATTAAAGAAAACTTGTTCCTTATAATTTCTTGCTTCAATTCTGGACTAATATGAATTCATAGAAACTATCACTTAGCAACTCTCATAGAAAAAAAAAAGGCTGTGAAAGTTAATTAGCTTTTCATGTCAAACTGAACAGCCAGATAAAATGCCAGCACATAGGAAAAGCTCCAATTTATGCCACACTCTCTGTGCAGGGACAGTGAAAGGCTACTGTGTGACTATTTTGGTCTCAAAGACATTTAATGCACTTGAAACACTTCGACAATTATACTAGTGTGACATTAAAGCTGCAGTGGGAAAGATTTTTATTTAAAAGTACGCAAGGCACGTAGTTCGACTGGAAAAAAAAAAAAAGAGGCTGAGATGTCTTACTACATAAGCTAGAGACACTTGTCAAAGTTGACCATTTTTAACAAACGG